AAGATGTTTTTATTTATTCATCTCGTTTCTGCTGAAAAATTATAGAGACAATTGTGCATGGTGTTGCCTTGCATAAATCACACAAATAAAACGGAAAAGAAGGCACTTGTGCATTCATTACAGGCATTTACATAAAGTTCTTTGTTCATCCTCTCAAAGACAACCACAGTCTGCCTCTCTGCAGTGGTAATGATCAAATGATTATCTTCAGATCAAAGCTATCCACCAGTGGCACACAGCAAGACTGGAGACTCTGGGAGTAAAAATAAAGCTTTCTGAAATACAGGATCCACAAAGGACGGACTTCACATCGGTCAGCCACTGCAGATCATTCATCTTTTCAATGTCAAGGATTTCACCAACTGCCCTCACGCTGAACAAGAATGCTTTTTTTCTTGCAAATTAATTGCATATGTATTTGTCTAAGTGACACATCCCATCAGTACAAATTAGCAAATAAAGTATATAATTGTCAGACAAAATGTTGCAAACATACCTATAGCTGCAGTAAGTAACTTTTTCTAATATGAGACAGATGATTTGAAACAATCAAGCAGAAATACACCGGTCGGTCAAAAACAACCAATCAGAGCCAGGAGGAGGGTTTTAGTGTCGTCATTCACCCTTGTATAATTCAACACTGGACTAGAAAGAGGAATAAACCAAAATGCAATATTTAACATGTTTATGGGTATAAAATTGGAAGTAGGTTGTGGTAATGATAATTACAGCATGTGTCACAATATTATAGACTGGTGAAGGTGTGAACTGACCAAGACTACTACACCAAAGAAATGTTTTAGCTAAATCAGTTGTCAAACTGCATGGGATCTCCACAGTGTAATGCTGCTATCTGCTCAGTAACAGAAAGGAGAAACTATTCTGTACACTTCCGGATGGGTAGAAAGGATGTCCTTTCTACCCATCCATTCTCTGTGACACTTTGGTAATAAATCAAAGCTGAGGAGGCAGGCAAGAGAGGGAAGGAGACTTGTGGTCCCCCCCCCCACCCCCTCTTCCCCCAATAACCTCTGACGCTGGTTTGACAAAACAATCGAACATCTGACAGTGCCGTGGAAACTAGACAGAACTATGGTTATTGTGGTTTTCATGCATATGTTAAATTTATGTCAATTATTAAAGTGCTTGTTCCAAATTAGATTTTTTTTTTTTTTTACATTTTTAGACAGTAATCAGGTATATTGAATGACAAATGTTTGCGTAAAAAAAAAAAAAAAATGTCTCATTGTTAAAACAAATGTTGGAATGAACAGTACAGGATTTCACTGCCTGTTCAAATATACAACTAAGTTTTTGTAGCAGGTCAATTTCCAAAAGACAAATCTTTTGGAAACTAAAGTACATCTATCCACTTCACCCAGTTTTGCTCTGAAAATACTAATGTCTTTCATTATTCTCACTTTTGGTTTGGGTTGCCTTTAGTGGATCATAATTCAATTCCACAGTCAATTTGCTTCATTTGTGCAGGTGTGAAAGCTTATCTTAACTCACCAGATAACACGTGTCTCAACTTGCTAGCAAGTGAACCTTAGGGCAATTTGCTTACAGTGGGAAATCAAACCAGTTATCTGGTCAGCCAAACAGAGAAAATGAACCATAAAGAGGGAATGACTTCACTTATACCGATGACTTACACACACATTTGTACTATGACAACTGAAAAGTTTCTCCCCATTTTTAACACACATTGTTGCTTAAACAAGTTGTTATTTATTAAAAAAAAAGAAAAGTGCGATGGATCAGGTGTACCAAGTAAACCAGATGGTTCATAAAATACTTCAAAGCAAGACTTAGATGCCTTCTGGCTTTATCTGATTGAGTTCTGAAAGGGTCCAGATGGCAATGGGGTTGAAGTTGTCGCAGACTCCTGAACTTCTTTGGTGTCCAACAAGGTAGAAATAATGACACAAGCTTAGACTTATATGAATGCATTTGCTGCTTGGCAATGGGATATAACATTGACAATCTGTGGGATTTTTCCATATGGATTTGGAGAAAATACACGAGTACACAATGTGGGCTGTCATTTGATGCTTGTCAATAATGTACATTTGACTGGTGTTGGGGAAGGGTGCCCATAGCAGGGGAAAATTAAAAAAAAAAAAAAAAAAAAAACACAAGCTATGGTCAGCGAAACTGTACCGAAAGTTAAAATGTGAAATATAATACAAGTTAAAGTGTTTTAAAAAATACATGTGAATGAATATTGCTAATATTCATTCATACAAGTCAATTGTTTCACTTTCTTTATGGTTAATTAAATAGAAAGAGGATAAAAAAAAAGATCTTAACATTTTTTTTGTAGTGACTAAATACTTAGCTTTGCTATCTAATATTCTTTGTTGGTGACTAGGTGAGTTTTGAGAACATAAAAAGATGAAGTGATCAATACCAGCTCAACCCCCTGGATGCTAGGAACTAAATGCAAAAGTTCCATTTATTGCTCTTGGTGAACCACAATTTCAATGGAAAGTACTAAACTTAAACTCTGACTTTAAATGGGACAAGAACTGCTCTAATGTCTCTAAGAGCTCAAATTGTGAATGTAAATGAAAGGAAGAATGAAGAAATAAAAGAAAATGCTCTTGAGTAGGTCTCAAGTATATTTGTGGGGAAGAAAATATTTCTCATTTTGTCCTTGTTACCAGAGCCAGAGATAAAATGTAAAACCCACAACCTTGGGTTACAATGTATGTTGGAAAACACCATATGTGTTTTCCATAGTGGGGAAACACATATGGTTCCATGCCGGGGCCAGGGGACAAAAAAATAGGGTACTGTTTCATGTCACTTGTATAAAATATCTACTTATTTGAAGGCTTTTAAAACAACAATTGTGGGACTAAAACTAAAAGTTTAACTACAAAACACTTCAAGAGTTTGGTTGGAAAAGTGCCTTTGGACAGTCAGCCTTCTCTTATAAAGCAGTTCAAGTTTTGGTTTGATTAACTCGTAGTACCTTGTAATTTATTAATAATGTGAATCAATGTTTTTAATCTATAGAGTGACGCAATTACATAATAGGCTGATTTGTGTTACCGTGCATTGTCCCATTTGAAATAAATAAATTAAGCCACATCTTTACAAGAGGTTTCCATCAGTGTGGGTGGCACTGCATTTGTATGACCCAGGTATAAAAAATGGGGTTTTGAAATCTCATATATTTAGAATGTGTTTAACAATTCAAATGAAAAATCAAATTAATAAAATAAATAAAAAAACATAGCAGGGACAGTGCGTACTTGTTCTGGAAGACGTATTACATATTGCATGAATAAAATATAATTTAACAATATGAGCCAGTCTCTTGCAGACAGAACTACATTAGGCAAAAAGGGAAACGAGTGTCCAAAGCATGTCTGTAAAACTATGTTTTAAAAGCTTAGGTGAAACTAAAGCACACTGCTATGGATTTAAAATAAACACCTCCAACACTTTGATAAATGATTTATAAAAAAAAATAAAAAATAAAATGGTGTCTACACCTCACCGGAGAACACACCAAGCTCATGCTGCACCTTCAATATGTAATACACACATGGAGCTATTAAAGTCCATTATACCTCCCTTTCTCCCTTCATAGCATGCAGTCATCCACTGAGAGGGTGAAGCAGCAAATTTGCTAGCTGGCTGACTGGGAGGACAGAGAGGCCTTTCTCACCAGTCAACGGCTGTCCTTAATGAGAATAGAAAGTGATTTAGTAGCTTAATGCTCCAACCCTCAGCCTGCCTGCCTGCCAGCCTTTGCTTCGCACAGCCAGCTCGGTCGACACTCCTTATAGAGCGGATGAAACAGAGCAGTGAACAAAAGAAAAAAGAAAAAAAAAGAAAGAGAAAGGGGGATGATGGCAAACCACTGTCCAATGTAAAAAATAAAAAAAAAGCAAAACAGGACTGATACAGTTTTGTGATTCCTCAGTAACAATATTCCTGACCTCCATTTGTCTTTGTTTTGACCAGCTTTCTATTCTACGTTGAAGTGATCTGAAAATGACTGTAAATTGAATAAGAGAACAGCGTGCAACTGTTGTTTCTCACTTTATCTTGTGTGGCTCCAAGCCTTTTCCTTGTTCCCCACACTGTTGATGGACTGATGCACAGTTGTAAAAGCAAATGTGTGGCTCGCAGTACAAAAGGGAAAAGAGGTGAGGATGCTCATCTGCCACATGCCTTTTTTTTGGCATTTAAATGGGGGAGGGGGGGTGGGGGGGAATAATACATAGAAAAGCAATGGCAGCGAGTTGGTTTTCATGCGAAGTCAGCCCCCTCTTGCAAAGCAAATATATATTCAGAAGGTAAAAGCCAGAGACACTTTTTTGCTATTATGTGCTCTGCGATTATCCAATCAAAAATGCTTTTACCCAGACCATTTTAGAGTAGTTGGCCATCACACAGAACTTCAGATGACCTGTCAAAGACCAGCGTTGCATTGCCCTGATTCATTCAGCTGTCTGGGGATGTGAACAGAGCTCACACACTAAATCTGATGTCTGGGGTTCCCCAAAGACCTTCAAAAACTAAATTGCTGACAGCTAGTTTAGTTATAGCCCAGACTTTTATTTAGTCTAACTTGCACCTCCATGTGTGCAGCCAATTACATACTTGAGTGAGAATAGAAGCAAAACATCATGCATATTCGCAGGGCTAAATTGCACTGCTGCATTGGGGGCTACACTAATTAAGGAATGTACTAAATTTTAAATAATTATTTTTAACTAGACAAGACAAGAGAGAGGGGACATCACATAAAGTTTAACTGTATTATGCGGCCAATATTTGTTACTTCTAGAATATCGACTTTGAGCATAGGCAGAGGGTAGAACAACTGCTAAATGTCTTGGTGGCACATCAAACAAAGAAGCTTAAGCAAATGAGGTGATTTAATGGCTGGGATTGTATGATTTGAGAAGTTCATCTCAGTATAGGGATTCCTGCTCACATCATGGGGGGGCAAACAGAGTACCACAACAGTTTCTTACCGAGTGTGAAGTAGGGAAGAGCTGTGTTGTCCAGATCATCCATTACAGAAATTCGGCCAGGTAGGTCTGTTCGAACGAATAACAGGAGCCGGGATTCGCTCCCTCCACCTCCTCCTCCTCCTCCTCCTCCCCCCGCTCCACCTCCTCCGGTTCCTCCTCCACCAGCACCACCTGCTCCAGCAGCAGCAGCAGCAGCAGCGCTCCCTCCTCCAACCACGCTCCCGGAGGCTCCACCGGTGAAGCTGAACTCGTTCTCCCGGAGCACGGGCAGCGTAGACACGGTGACGGTTTTCACCTCGCACGGCGCCTCCGCGTCGCTCTCGCTGTCCCGCTCCTCGTCAGGCGACGTCGCACCTTTGCTCGTCCGGAGTGTCAGGTACCCAGTCAGGGAGAAACCCACGAGAAGGACGCGGATGTGCAGCGCTGGTATCCTCGCCATCCCGCTCCTTGCGTGTGGTTCTCTAGCTTTGAGTGGGGCTCATAGGCTGTCCGTTCACTTATAGTACAATCGCTGCAAAGGAGTCGCGTCCGTCCAGGAGGCGGCAGCACAGGTGTAGTGAGAATGACAACTCTCGGCTCCTAAAGATCCATTCCTGCCAATGTTGTGAGGGAAATAAATACTTTGCTCAATTAAACACGTGACTTTAACAAACGCATTAAAAACGTTGTCTTTTTGTGTGTTTTTTTATTTTTTATTTTTATTATTATTATTTTTTAACAACCGATCCACATTTTTATTGAACCAGAACACGTTTTCCACATTCATTTAAATCCCAATTCAGCTTAGAGCTGAAGATTTAAATCTACATACGATGAGAATACCTCCTTATCTAGTTTCAGTCAGAGTTAAGGTTTAAAAGTTTATTTTGGAACTTCAACAATTAAAACAAAGCAAGATGGTTCCTAATAAAAAAAAAGAAAAAAAGAAAAGGTCTATTCGCATCTGGATTTTGTGGTTTGCTTTAATGTCACTATTGGATCCACAAATTCTGCATAAAACCCTGAAAGAGAACATTTGCTGGCCACATCCAGTTGTGTGACCCTAAGCTCGACACATTGTGGTTATGCAGCACAACAAAGATCTAAATCAGACTCAAGGCCACTGCTACATGCCTGAAAATAGTGAGATAATAAAAACTAAAATGTTTTTAGTTACCTAATAAAGTCGTATTAATAAGAGGTTTTTGATCTCAATGGGTTTTTTTTTTATACTGGTAAAGAAAGCTTTTTTTTTTTTTTTTTTTTTTTAAAATTTTAATTTTAAAAACATTTAAAATGCAAATACCTGCAAACCTTTATAGAGTGTNTACCATCCCCACCATTTATTACTGCAGTAACAGCATCATAGCGTGCTTTTTTTTTTTTAAAGGGAAACTAATTGGAGTCAAGAGAAATAAGGATAGTGTGAATTGCAAAATCCTGAATGAAAATTTGCTACATACTTGAAAATGCTTTTAACAGGGTTTGAGGTTCAGCTTCCTTTACATCCATCTTTCTATTCACAGAAAAGCGTGCTCCAACAAACTCACTGGCCATAATATATTTTGTACGCTCAACATTTTGTAAATTATAGTTCTTTTCCACTACAATCGCAAACTATTTTGTGTTGATGTATCACATAAGATCCCATTAAGATATTGTAAAGTTTTCCATTACGAGAAATAATGGGAAATGTTTTTCAGTTTTAATACTTTGTAATTATATTTGGGCACATGTGGCATCATTGCCATAAAGCCAGATGAAAAATTATTTCTTCGACATGCTTTATTATCATCAGAAATAACAAATCACAAACAATCTGTGATTTGTCTTATTTTACAGAGAGTGACAAACTGTTCTGTAGGCTGATTTGTGTCTCTAAGAATCCTCAACATTTAAAATGGCCCACTTTTTAATGTGTTACATTAAAAGCAAAATCATGAACTGTATCTAGTGCTGTTTGGAAAAGGCAAATTGAGATTTTGCACAAAAAACAAAAAAAAAAACAAAACCAAATCAAAACAACCCTCCCCCCCCCCCCACCCCTCGAAAACATGCAACCCAACTGTGTATCAAACTAGGTTTAATGGTTTTGAGCGTAGGTTGATATATTTTTCATGCAATGTTCCTGTGTCCCCAATGTCTTGCTTGCATTATACAAAGTATTTTGCAAAGAGGGCAAATGCATTGCAGAGTTGTTGTCACATGGGGCCTTCTATTATGTGGCAGGGACACACCAAAGGAACCTAAAGTGCAAAAAGAGTAACTAAATGGAATTGCTTTTATAAATCAGTGTCACATTATACATGCACTGCACAGGCTAAAAAGCCCTTTTACAGTATACAACTAGGAAGTCCATGAATCTTTAGGGGATCAGCTTGTAGCATGCTCCTGTGAAATACACTTTTCAGGTTATCCTTTGATGCAAGTCCAGCTTTATGAAGATAAACTCTTATGACCTTGTATGGTTACACAGACAACAATGCCTGGGCAGATTTGTCAGATTTGAAGAAAGCGGGAAAACAATTAACGTCGTAATTCAAAGACAAGAAATTGCCTAACGGATGGAGGGTGGTGCTGAAGGGGCTATACAGTCTTTAGTCAAGATGTTTTTATTTATTCATCTCGTTTCTGCTGAAAAATTATAGAGACAATTGTGCATGGTGTTGCCTTGCATAAATCACACAAATAAAACGGAAAAGAAGGCACTTGTGCATTCATTACAGGCATTTACATAAAGTTCTTTGTTCATCCTCTCAAAGACAACCACAGTCTGCCTCTCTGCAGTGGTAATGATCAAATGATTATCTTCAGATCAAAGCTATCCACCAGTGGCACACAGCAAGACTGGAGACTCTGGGAGTAAAAATAAAGCTTTCTGAAATACAGGATCCACAAAGGACGGACTTCACATCGGTCAGCCACTGCAGATCATTCATCTTTTCAATGTCAAGGATTTCACCAACTGCCCTCACGCTGAACAAGAATGCTTTTTTTCTTGCAAATTAATTGCATATGTATTTGTCTAAGTGACACATCCCATCAGTACAAATTAGCAAATAAAGTATATAATTGTCAGACAAAATGTTGCAAACATACCTATAGCTGCAGTAAGTAACTTTTTCTAATATGAGACAGATGATTTGAAACAATCAAGCAGAAATACACCGGTCGGTCAAAAACAACCAATCAGAGCCAGGAGGAGGGTTTTAGTGTCGTCATTCACCCTTGTATAATTCAACACTGGACTAGAAAGAGGAATAAACCAAAATGCAATATTTAACATGTTTATGGGTATAAAATTGGAAGTAGGTTGTGGTAATGATAATTACAGCATGTGTCACAATATTATAGACTGGTGAAGGTGTGAACTGACCAAGACTACTACACCAAAGAAATGTTTTAGCTAAATCAGTTGTCAAACTGCATGGGATCTCCACAGTGTAATGCTGCTATCTGCTCAGTAACAGAAAGGAGAAACTATTCTGTACACTTCCGGATGGGTAGAAAGGATGTCCTTTCTACCCATCCATTCTCTGTGACACTTTGGTAATAAATCAAAGCTGAGGAGGCAGGCAAGAGAGGGAAGGAGACTTGTGGTCCCCCCCCCCCCCCCCCCTCTTCCCCCAATAACCTCTGACGCTGGTTTGACAAAACAATCGAACATCTGACAGTGCCGTGGAAACTAGACAGAACTATGGTTATTGTGGTTTTCATGCATATGTTAAATTTATGTCAATTATTAAAGTGCTTGTTCCAAATTAGATTTTTTTTTTTTTTTTTACACATTTTTAGACAGTAATCAGGTATATTGAATGACAAATGTTTGCGTAAAAAAAAAAAAAAAAAATGTCTCATTGTTAAAACAAATGTTGGAATGAACAGTACAGGATTTCACTGCCTGTTCAAATATACAACTAAGTTTTTGTAGCAGGTCAATTTCCAAAAGACAAATCTTTTGGAAACTAAAGTACATCTATCCACTTCACCCAGTTTTGCTCTGAAAATACTAATGTCTTTCATTATTCTCACTTTTGGTTTGGGTTGCCTTTAGTGGATCATAATTCAATTCCACAGTCAATTTGCTTCATTTGTGCAGGTGTGAAAGCTTATCTTAACTCACCAGATAACACGTGTCTCAACTTGCTAGCAAGTGAACCTTAGGGCAATTTGCTTACAGTGGGAAATCAAACCAGTTATCTGGTCAGCCAAACAGAGAAAATGAACCATAAAGAGGGAATGACTTCACTTATACCGATGACTTACACACACATTTGTACTATGACAACTGAAAAGTTTCTCCCCATTTTTAACACACATTGTTGCTTAAACAAGTTGTTATTTATTAAAAAAAAAGAAAAGTGCGATGGATCAGGTGTACCAAGTAAACCAGATGGTTCATAAAATACTTCAAAGCAAGACTTAGATGCCTTCTGGCTTTATCTGATTGAGTTCTGAAAGGGTCCAGATGGCAATGGGGTTGAAGTTGTCGCAGACTCCTGAACTTCTTTGGTGTCCAACAAGGTAGAAATAATGACACAAGCTTAGACTTATATGAATGCATTTGCTGCTTGGCAATGGGATATAACATTGACAATCTGTGGGATTTTTCCATATGGATTTGGAGAAAATACACGAGTACACAATGTGGGCTGTCATTTGATGCTTGTCAATAATGTACATTTGACTGGTGTTGGTGAAGTGTGCCCATAGCAGGTGAAACTTAAAAAAAAAAAAAAAAAAAAAACAAAAGCTATGGTCAGCGAAACTGTACCGAAAGTTAAAATGTGAAATATAATACAAGTTAAAGTGTTTTAAAAAATACATGTGAATGAATATTGCTAATATTCATTCATACAAGTCAATTGTTTCACTTTCTTTATGGTTAATTAAATAGAAAGAGGATAAAAAAAAAGATCTTAACATTTTTTTTGTAGTGACTAAATACTTAGCTTTGCTATCTAATATTCTTTGTTGGTGACTAGGTGAGTTTTGAGAACATAAAAAGATGAAGTGATCAATACCAGCTCAACCCCCTGGATGCTAGGAACTAAATGCAAAAGTTCCATTTATTGCTCTTGGTGAACCACAATTTCAATGGAAAGTACTAAACTTAAACTCTGACTTTAAATGGGACAAGAACTGCTCTAATGTCTCTAAGAGCTCAAATTGTGAATGTAAATGAAAGGAAGAATGAAGAAATAAAAGAAAATGCTCTTGAGTAGGTCTCAAGTATATTTGTGGGGAAGAAAATATTTCTCATTTTGTCCTTGTTACCAGAGCCAGAGATAAAATGTAAAACCCACAACCTTGGGTTACAATGTATGTTGGAAAACACCATATGTGTTTTCCATAGTGGGGAAACACATATGGTTCCATGCCGGGGCCAGGGGACAAAAAAATAGGGTACTGTTTCATGTCACTTGTATAAAATATCTACTTATTTGAAGGCTTTTAAAACAACAATTGTGGGACTAAAACTAAAAGTTTAACTACAAAACACTTCAAGAGTTTGGTTGGAAAAGTGCCTTTGGACAGTCAGCCTTCTCTTATAAAGCAGTTCAAGTTTTGGTTTGATTAACTCGTAGTACCTTGTAATTTATTAATAATGTGAATCAATGTTTTTAATCTATAGAGTGACGCAATTACATAATAGGCTGATTTGTGTTACCGTGCATTGTCCCATTTGAAATAAATAAATTAAGCCACATCTTTACAAGAGGTTTCCATCAGTGTGGGTGGCACTGCATTTGTATGACCCAGGTATAAAAAATGGGGTTTTGAAATCTCATATATTTAGAATGTGTTTAACAATTCAAATGAAAAATCAAATTAATAAAATAAATAAAAAAACATAGCAGGGACAGTGCGTACTTGTTCTGGAAGACGTATTACATATTGCATGAATAAAATATAATTTAACAATATGAGCCAGTCTCTTGCAGACAGAACTACATTAGGCAAAAAGGGAAACGAGTGTCCAAAGCATGTCTGTAAAACTATGTTTTAAAAGCTTAGGTGAAACTAAAGCACACTGCTATGGATTTAAAATAAACACCTCCAACACTTTGATAAATGATTTATAAAAAAAAATAAAAAATAAAATGGTGTCTACACCTCACCGGAGAACACACCAAGCTCATGCTGCACCTTCAATATGTAATACACACATGGAGCTATTAAAGTCCATTATACCTCCCTTTCTCCCTTCATAGCATGCAGTCATCCACTGAGAGGGTGAAGCAGCAAATTTGCTAGCTGGCTGACTGGGAGGACAGAGAGGCCTTTCTCACCAGTCAACGGCTGTCCTTAATGAGAATAGAAAGTGATTTAGTAGCTTAATGCTCCAACCCTCAGCCTGCCTGCCTGCCAGCCTTTGCTTCGCACAGCCAGCTCGGTCGACACTCCTTATAGAGCGGATGAAACAGAGCAGTGAACAAAAGAAAAAAGAAAAAAAAAGAAAGAGAAAGGGGGATGATGGCAAACCACTGTCCAATGTAAAAAATAAAAAAAAAGCAAAACAGGACTGATACAGTTTTGTGATTCCTCAGTAACAATATTCCTGACCTCCATTTGTCTTTGTTTTGACCAGCTTTCTATTCTACGTTGAAGTGATCTGAAAATGACTGTAAATTGAATAAGAGAACAGCGTGCAACTGTTGTTTCTCACTTTATCTTGTGTGGCTCCAAGCCTTTTCCTTGTTCCCCACACTGTTGATGGACTGATGCACAGTTGTAAAAGCAAATGTGTGGCTCGCAGTACAAAAGGGAAAAGAGGTGAGGATGCTCATCTGCCACATGCCTTTTTTTTGGCATTTAAATGGGGGAGGGGGGGTGGGGGGGAATAATACATAGAAAAGCAATGGCAGCGAGTTGGTTTTCATGCGAAGTCAGCCCCCTCTTGCAAAGCAAATATATATTCAGAAGGTAAAAGCCAGAGACACTTTTTTGCTATTATGTGCTCTGCGATTATCCAATCAAAAATGCTTTTACCCAGACCATTTTAGAGTAGTTGGCCATCACACAGAACTTCAGATGACCTGTCAAAGACCAGCGTTGCATTGCCCTGATTCATTCAGCTGTCTGGGGATGTGAACAGAGCTCACACACTAAATCTGATGTCTGGGGTTCCCCAAAGACCTTCAAAAACTAAATTGCTGACAGCTAGTTTAGTTATAGCCCAGACTTTTATTTAGTCTAACTTGCACCTCCATGTGTGCAGCCAATTACATACTTGAGTGAGAATAGAAGCAAAACATCATGCATATTCGCAGGGCTAAATTGCACTGCTGCATTGGGGGCTACACTAATTAAGGAATGTACTAAATTTTAAATAATTATTTTTAACTAGACAAGACAAGAGAGAGGGGACATCACATAAAGTTTAACTGTATTATGCGGCCAATATTTGTTACTTCTAGAATATCGACTTTGAGCATAGGCAGAGGGTAGAACAACTGCTAAATGTCTTGGTGGCACATCAAACAAAGAAGCTTAAGCAAATGAGGTGATTTAATGGCTGGGATTGTATGATTTGAGAAGTTCATCTCAGTATAGGGATTCCTGCTCACATCATGGGGGGGCAAACAGAGTACCACAACAGTTTCTTACCGAGTGTGAAGTAGGGAAGAGCTGTGTTGTCCAGATCATCCATTACAGAAATTCGGCCAGGTAGGTCTGTTCGAACGAATAACAGGAGCCGGGATTCGCTCCCTCCACCTCCTCCTCCTCCTCCTCCTCCCCCCGCTCCACCTCCTCCGGTTCCTCCTCCACCAGCACCACCTGCTCCAGCAGCAGCAGCAGCAGCAGCGCTCCCTCCTCCAACCACGCTCCCGGAGGCTCCACCGGTGAAGCTGAACTCGTTCTCCCGGAGCACGGGCAGCGTAGACACGGTGACGGTTTTCACCTCGCACGGCGCCTCCGCGTCGCTCTCGCTGTCCCGCTCCTCGTCAGGCGACGTCGCACCTTTGCTCGTCCGGAGTGTCAGGTACCCAGTCAGGGAGAAACCCACGAGAAGGACGCGGATGTGCAGCGCTGGTATCCTCGCCATCCCGCTCCTTGCGTGTGGTTCTCTAGCTTTGAGTGGGGCTCATAGGCTGTCCGTTCACTTATAGTACAATCGCTGCAAAGGAGTCGCGTCCGTCCAGGAGGCGGCAGCACAGGTGTAGTGAGAATGACAACTCTCGGCTCCTAAAGATCCATTCCTGCCAATGTTGTGAGGGAAATAAATACTTTGCTCAATTAAACACGTGACTTTAACAAACGCATTAAAAACGTTGTCTTTTTGTGTGTTTTTTTATTTTTTATTTTTATTATTATTATTTTTTAACAACCGATCCACATTTTTATTGAACCAGAACACGTTTTCCACATTCATTTAAATCCCAATTCAGCTTAGAGCTGAAGATTTAAATCTACATACGATGAGAATACCTCCTTATCTAGTTTCAGTCAGAGTTAAGGTTTAAAAGTTTATTTTGGAACTTCAACAATTAAAACAAAGCAAGATGGTTCCTAATAAAAAAAAAGAAAAAAAGAAAAGGTCTATTCGCATCTGGATTTTGTGGTTTGCTTTAATGTCACTATTGGATCCACAAATTCTGCATAAAACCCTGAAAGAGAACATTTGCTGGCCACATCCAGTTGTGTGACCCTAAGCTCGACACATTGTGGTTATGCAGCACAACAAAGATCTAAATCAGACTCAAGGCCACTGCTACATGCCTGAAAATAGTGAGATAATAAAAACTAAAATGTTTTTAGTTACCTAATAAAGTCGTATTAATAAGAGGTTTTTGATCTCAATGGGTTTTTTTTTTATACTGGTAAAGAAAGCTTTTTTTTTTTTTTTTTTTTTTTAAAATTTTAATTTTAAAAACATTTAAAATGCAAATACCTGCAAACCTTTATAGAGTGT